AAAAAAAAAAGTTGGGTCAAGGTTACTGGTTTGCTTACTCCACATTCCAACTATGGACTTTATAAATCTAGCCAGCTTTTAACCACAAGGAAACCCAAAACAAGTTTGCAATGATGGGTTGGTACAATCTGAAAGTATCTTGGGAAACCACTTAAAATGCAAAGAAGTCACAGAAACATCTTCTTAAAACAGTGTCTGAATGTCTGTTGTACCTATTAAGTAGAAATACACTAAAAGGTTCACAATTCTTTAACAGATCAACAAAAACTAACCCTAGCAAATACCAATAATGTACAAACAAAAAAACAAATCACCAACCAAAAAAATCCCACTGAAGTTACCGAACAGAGGAAGATACCCATTATTCACAAAAGTAGAAAATAACCATCAACACTACCAAAAAAGGGGTGAGAGACTATAGTACATTAAGCAGTAAAAAGCAACTCAGTAGTCTGTGGTGTTTCTTTTAATGGATTATGAAATCATACTTTACTTTCTTAAATAATTAAAAAAGAAAACCTAAATATTGCTCATAGTTTTCAATTAACTCCAAAATGAAAAGTATGAATTTTTTAGTAGCAAACACAATGGGAGATGTGTTTAAAAAAACACAGCACACACACAAAAGAAAAAAAATAGGACAACACAAAATAGAAATGATTCTTCAAGTAATGTTTATATTTACTGCTTACAAATCTGCTTTAGAAAAACAGAAATGCTGGTTTTACATGAAAGTGTCTTATTTTTAAAAAATTATTTTAAGTATGTTTTATCTTACTTGAGAGAGTCCAGGGGACGATGCATGTCCCGGGGGCGTTGCCGCAAGATTTGGATGCCCCTTGTTTATTTCATGTGCTGAATAAGGGGAAGGGGTCGGAGGTCCCTGCTGTCTTGCTACTTGCGTTACCTGTGAAGAAATCAGTATTTAGAAAGAGCGCTGTATTAGTAACTCAAGCTTAATAAATACAGCTGAACTGGCTAACAAATTTCTAAAACTGGGTTTTCTGCCTCATAATAAATAAAATGCTAAATAATAAAGACTTAAATATTCAAAATTGGAAAAGTAAAAATCTTTGAAAAAATACACACGAATATTCTCATCAATTTGATGAAAGATTCTTAAAGGAAAGAAAATCTCAAAAATCAAAAGCAATAAAGGAAAAATATAAGTGAAAAGAGCCAAACTTGAAACTATAATGAATAATGCCATTTTGTAAAAGGAAAAGAAAAAGAGATAAATGGTTGTAAGGTAAAGAGATGAATACAAGGAGATTTTGAGGGGAGATGACTTTGTTAAGACTCATAGAAGTACAAACTTAAAAGGGTCCATTTTAGACCAGGTATAGGACCCACACCTGTAATACCAGCACTCTGGAAGGTTGAGGCAAGAAGATCACTTCAGCTCAGGAGTCTGAGACCAGAATGAGCAAAAGTGAGACTCAGACTCTACCTAAACAGGAAAATTAACCAATCATGGTGGCAGGAGCCGGTAGTCCCAGCTACTCAGGAGGCTGAAGCAGAAGGATTGCTCAAACCAAGTAGTTTGAGGTTGCTGTGAGCAAGGCTAACACCACGGCACTCTAGCCTAGACTACCGAGGGAGACTTTGTCTCCAAAAAAGGGCAGGTAGGGAGCCCATTTTATTTTTATGTAACTTATACTTTAATAAACCCAAGTTACTAAAGAACATCTCATTTTGTCTTTAATAAAGTACATCTAATGTATGTGCATGCATTTCCTGACACATGCCTACATGGGTATGCATATAATACACACATACATACTCCTACACACGTATACATACAAATGTAATATGTACATATTAAAAAGATCTATAAGAAAATACACCAAAATCTTAACAGAAAGCATTACAGATATTTCTTCTCTCATTTATGGTTGTAAACTTGTACCATGAAAAAATAGTATATGTATTTATGTAACCACCAAAATTTTTATTTTCTTTATTTAGGCAATAAATTGCCCATCAGCCCATGATAGATATGAAACCACATCACTCAACTTTTTTTTTTTTTTTTTTGCAGTTATGGGGCCAGCGCCCTACTCCTTTGAGCCACAGGCACTGCTCCACTTCACTCAACTTCTTTCTAGTGTCTACCTACCAGTCACTCCTAGCCAGTTTCTCTCTCTCTCTGTCTCTCTGTGTCTCTCTCTCTCTCTCTCTCTCTCTCTCTCTCTCGTAGTCTATCCCAGATTAACAGTGACAATTCAGCAAACCTCCATGAATGCTAGGCAACTCTGTACTCCTATAACAAGAACTCAACTCTCCTCACAGCATGACTCCAATTTAGGCAGACCATGAAACCTCTGCAAATCTACCAGAAAACAAAAATTGCTTCTTTTTTTTTTTTCCCCACAAAGTCTTACTGTGTTGGCCCAGGCTACAGGGCTGGGGCCTCACATCTCACAGCAATTACAAACTCTTGGGCTCAAGAAATCTTCTTGCCTCAGTCTCCTAAGTAGCTGGAACTACAGACAAGTAGCTGGAACCACAGATGTCTACCAGCACACCTGGCTAGTTTTCTATTTTTAGTAGAGATCAGGTGTCACAATTGCTTAGGCTGGTCTTGAACTCCTGAACTCAAGAAATCTACCTACCTTGGCCTCCTAGAGTGATAAGATCAAAGGCATGAGCCACCACACCTGGCACTAAATACTTCTTAAAATCCTGTTTTTAAATGTACAAAATAAAATATGTAGGAATATGGTAAAAACTGATTATACTGAAATTAATGTTGAAAATGTTGAAACATGTAATCCCAGCACTTTGGGAGACTGAAGCAGGAGGATCACTTGAGAACAGGAGTTTGAGACCACCCCGGGCAACAGACTAAGACCCTGGTTCTATGAAAAATTAACAACCCCCCAAAAACCAACAAGGTATGGTGGCTCAACTCTGTACTCTTAAGCTACTGAGGAGGCTGGATCAGGAGAACTGCTTAAGCTCAGGAGTCAGAGGCTGCAATGAGCTATGATCAGGCCTGTACAACAGAGTGAGATCACATGTCTTAATCAAATAAATAAATTAAAACAAATTCATGATATAGTAATACACATATTCTTTTTAAGTATGGTTTAAAATTAAGAACTAATGGCAACTGCTGCCTGTATTCATAGTTCAAACAAATGCCAAAATTCCCTATTAGACATTTTCTCCATCTCAGTTCTTAGATATTCTGCATTATACTAAAAAGTGAATAAACTGTCTCCAGAAAGAAAGAAAAGCTGGCCTCCTAATGACATTAGATTTTCCTGGAATTTACTGCGTTTAGTCAGAAGCTCTGAAGATAATCTAGTCCCTAGTAATGTAATCCTAGAGTTTCTTCTATCTCCCTTTAACAGACAAACATTTTCAGGCTCAACTACCTGACTCATGCTGAAATAAAACTGACTCAGAGTAATAATTGGGACCTAAAGTTGACAGGTTAGAAGAGTCACAAAACGCTATAATATGACCAAAGATTAAGACATGAAATAATGGTATCTAGTTTCTTGCTTTCCTTTTTTAAAAACTATGATTTCCTCAGAAAATTTTGTTTCCAATTTTGAGTGAACACTACATTTATAAAGACATTAGGTTTACCATGAAATTTTACAGCATGTATGAATCTCATCAAAAAAATTTTTAAAGGAGAAAAATTGGACTTTTATTTAAACATTTACTTTAGAAAATAACCCACAATAAAGATTTCTTACAATCAAATTTCCCACCAAAAAGGCTGATACACTTATATTATTTTGCAGGTTTAAATACTTTGATATTCCACTGAATTAAAATGTCAGCATGGATACACAAAGAAGGGCGGCTCTTGTGGCTCAAAGGAGTAGGGCACAGGCCCCATATGCCAGAGGTGGCGGGTTCAAACCCAGCCCCAGCCAAAAACTGCAAAAAAAAAAAAAAAAAACCCCAAACAAACCAAAAAAATTAGCACAAAGAAATAAGTGAAAATAAAAAAAACAAAGAAGTTAGAAATATAAATCCACATTAGATCAATTCCACAATTTATCCCAACAAAACAATTATAACTTTACGCATGAGCTAAAAATGTTAATGCTATTGATAAAAAATAAATACTGACTGAGTATGGTGGCTCACGCCGATCTACCACATTAGGAGGCCAAGTGAGAGGACTGCTTGAGGTCAGGAGTTTGAGACCAGGCTAAGCAAAAGCAAGATTCTGTCACTACTAAACACCGAAAAATTAAAACATCACACAGACCTGTAGTCCCAGTACTTGGAAGGCTGAAGCAGGAGGATGGCTTGAGCCCAGGTCTTTCAGGTTACAGTAAGCTATAATGATTCTTACTGCCTTCTACCTGCAGTGGTATCTGTAACCTGGGGACTGCCAGGTTATATTATATTGTATTATATTATATTATGTCTCGAGAAGTATACATGGATGGCAATACTATAAAGAATAGCAGGGAAATGTTTTTGAAAGGCAGATAGTATCACCTCTGGGGAGAAAGAGAGTGATAAATAGGAAAGGCCACAAAATGTTTTTAACCTTTAGAACTGGGAGTGGATGCAAAATTTTTGCTTTTAAATTATTTGTTGAAGTCTATTTTTAAGTTGTATGTACTTTTATACATGTATGTTTTAATTCCCTCTATCCCACCCATCTCCAAAAAACATTTAAAAACAAAAACAAGCAATTATTCAAGAAAAAAATTTTTTTTTTTTGAGACGGAGTCGCTTTCTGTCGATGTGGGTAGGTAAGAGTGCCATCGCATCACCATAGCGCACAGCAACATCAATCTCCTAGGTTCAGGTGATCCTCTTGCCTCAGCCTCTTGAGGAGCTGGGACTCCAGGCACAAACCACAATGCCTGGCTAGTTTTTCTAAATTTTTTTAGTTTAGTTTTGTTTTGTTTTAATGGCGTCAGCTGCCTCCTCCCAGTTTGGCTCCCGCCAACCAGTTTTTCTAGTTTTAGCAGAGACAGAGTCTCACTGTTGCTCAGGCTGGTCTTGAACTCCTGAGCTCAAGCAATCCACCGGCCTCCCAGGGTGCTAGAATTACAAGTGTGAGCCATCTTGCCCAGCAAACCTCTAAAAGGTTGACAGTGAAAATTAGTGAATTTTCATTCAAGATTTCTACTTTAAAATAATCTACTCTAAAATCAATGATATTTGGTAGTTGCTGACCAATATAACTTGAAGGATGTCTTGAAAATTTTAAGGTTAAGTCCATTAAGATTAAGCAAACTAAGATTAGTCATTAAGTCTAAAGTTTATCATTTAACTCAATGATATTTACTTGATCAAATATTTGGGATTTAAGAATTAATGTACATGAACTACAATTTTCAAATAATAAAAACATACCAAACAATTTCCTTAAAATTATCACTCTTTCATGACTCCAGAATAATGGAAATGCCATGTTGGAAGAATATTGGGAAAAAAGTAGCTGGCTATAAGGAATAGGGATTAGAAACTAAGGAGACATGTGGAAAGAATGGCCACCTCCCAGAGGACAGGAGATACCGAGACACTCAGCTGTAGTTAAGTGCTACCATGATGGAATTCCAGGTAAGTAATGCTACCATCTTCCACTTTTTCAAAGGCAACTAAAATAAAGCTTTTTGCATGAAATGTTCCTGACTTCCAAAACACTGCACAAGCCAAATAAAGCACACAGCTGTATACTGAATAAACAAGTAGCCAGTCCGTAGGGGTTACCTCATGAATATCACCAAATATGGACTTGCAACTGAGCACTATGTTTTTATTATACATACATATATAAGTGTGTCTATGTATATATATACATATATATATATATCTCTTTAAAAAGCACAGCAATTAAACCAGTTAATAAAGACTAAAAACAGAAAACTCTTAAGATTCCTGGCAAGCGTATTAGTTTTTTCAGCAACAAATGATTCA